GATATACATACACATATTCTCAAGAGCACACATACACACACTAATATAACATTACTGTTATGTATTTCATGCGCCCCACGTTTTTCGTTTTTCAATTTTTTTCTTAATTATTATTCTCCACTACTAAAACGTGGTTTTTAAAAATATTACTTTTTATTTTGAATTTTTAAGTTTAACTATTCTTTTTTTGGTTTATTCTTTTTGCATTATTTAATTAGATGATAAAACAATAGAAACATACAAAAATGTTGATTATTACTCAGTATTATACACAAATTTCTGCAATACTCATTAAGAGAGCGGGGCTACCCGACTCTCCCCTATATGTTTTCTGTTAGACAAATAGATAAATTAAGAAAGCTTAATTTCAATATTTTGTAACTATTGTAGTAATTGGGGGATAATCAGCTTGATTGACAGTTATGTTCATTTATACATTCCACGAAATACCACCATGTGTTTGAAGCAGCATAGCTCCTGCTTTTAAGTCATTACAAAGAAGTGAATTCGTGCAAGTGAAGAGCGATTTCAAACAGGATCTTTTGGGGTTTGGTGATGGTTTCTGAATTGAGGAAGAGACTACTGATATATAATATTCTATTAATATGTACTGTTATTCTCAATAAAAGTGTTTATTTCTATTATCCACTATAGTTTTTTTTCAATAACAAAACTGTTTTAAATCACTTACTCTTTTAAGTTTCTTTGTTGTGAATGTAGGGGAGACGATTGACCTAATTCTTCTCCAATAGTCTCCTTCATTTACTAAAAGAGATAGGTTCATAATATCGTCACATTGGAAAATCTAAATAAACAGAAACACATTTATTTAGTTAAATAAATATTGATATTTAGCGTTAAGTATGTCGAAGTTATTTTCTTAGCAATAGTGAAAAAAACAAAGCGAACTTCTGCTTCGGTGGAATGTTTAACTACGTGCGAGGCGAAAGTAAACTTACACCTTCTCGTGCTCGATGGTAAACAACGCATCGTTGTTATCTGACGATTTCGAAAAGTTGCCAAGTTTGGCTATTCGGAGATAAAAATAATTCATGAAAAGTGAAAATGCTTGTGAGCGTGGTGTATTTACTTTTCTTATTGTTTAGATTTAAAGACTCCTTTTAAAGAGTATAGAGGAAATTTGCCTAAATTGTACCACTTTTCATCTTTAATTTTTTATTTGCCTCAAATCACTAACAATTGCATTAGAAATATAAAATAATAAAATGGATTTTTTAATAATGATATTCATACAGTAAGTACTGAAAACCAATTGTTTTTACAAAGTTTACAAGCGGTACGTTCAGGAAATTTATTGTCTAAGTCATACCACCTGCTTCCTAAATTGTATCTACCTCAAAAATATTGAGTACTTATGATTAAGTGAATAGGAAGCCCATCTGAACATATGAAGAAAAGGGATATGAATTGTTGTAACTGCTACAAGTATAGTAACAGTATTATAAGCCTCTGCAATGTGCCTAAATTCAAGTGTGACTTATGGAAGTGTTGCAAATTAAGACAGAATCTTATAAGGATTTATATCCGACTTTCTATTTCTTAGATTTTAGATGTGGATGGAAAATTGGTTTGATTGAAACCTTCACCATAGAAGGTACTGAGACGGATCTATCTATCAGATTACATTACTAACCAATAATTACTGTATCACAACTTAAAAAACCGCGAGGCCCATAACTTTGATGTTTTTCATCACTTTTTCCTTTCTAGATATGAGGGAAAATATATCTTATCTTAAAGATATTAAATATCAATGAATGTACTGAAACAATTTCATTTCTTTCCGACTGAATCAGGTATTGATTGAGGTTTTCAGCTGGCAGAAAGTCAGTTCAATTAAAGATTAGCCCACTAAAATATTTAAATTCTTCTGAACAGAGTTCTGTTGTTGTTTTCGTATGCCATTAAAACAAGAGGGATGAGCTTCTTCTAGTTTTCCAATGGAGCCATCTATGGACAAGATTCAACTTCTACCACACACATAGACCACAACCGGTTTTACAGGGAGATCTTAATTTTGACCTGATCCAGAGCACGATCAATCTCCGATCCAGTACCCCCAGAGGTTGTGAATTTTTATAGCAACTTGGAGGATTTTGTGATCCAGACATATTTAGCGCACACCAGTCAATATTTTGTACACTGGGGTCATCGGCCGGAGGAAATCGAACTCACGACTTCTTGGACATTGGACCAACGCCCTGCTAACCAGGCTATCCCGGCTCCAGAGTTCTGTTGTTACGCTCTTACTATGAACCACATTCATGAGATGAGAAATTTGATGTTGGGTGCAAAGTTAGTTCAGAAATTTTTCTCGGCTCCTTATCAAATTTTTGGGTTTAGAACAGTTTATAATACTTGAAAAATGATCTGTTTACTAGTTGAAATTGATACGTTGCTCTTAAATCGAACGGTAAGATTTAGGAGTGTGTATGAGCTACGAATTAAGCAACTACACATCATTTTAAATCAAGCATTATTTCAGTTTTCAAACATTAATTAGCTTGGAAAGTAAATGATTAGAGAATAATTTTATATAATAATTAATTATATAAAGTATTTTCTGATCAATACATTACTTAATCATTGCTATATCCTTATTGGAGATGTTCGAAAATTACATTAAAAACTTGCAAAACCGGTTAATTTAAATAAAACTTAACACAAGTAAGCATTAACTTGATTCTTCTGTATGATAAAAGCTTCCTAATTTATCCGTTAGAATCCCAATTTATCCGTTCTCTATCGAACACTCAGTGACCGAAGAACTACTTTATTTCTGTTGTTGACTGCAACTACTTTACTTACAATTGTAGCTAACTACAACTACTTTTTTAAAAATATATTGACTACAAACTACTTTCGAAATGTAATCACTACTTTTAGAAGATGAACTTTTCGGGAGAACTTAATTTCCGCTCACGTTCAAAATGGTTTGAAATAAAAAAATAGCTTATTTAAGCACGAAGAACTAAGATGAATATTTAAGAAATATTTATTCGTTATTGCAGCCAATCTATTATTTTAAGCCATTTTTAACGAATTTGTTTTTATAACCTTCAACAAGTATTTCTTGGCAGTGGATATTTAAGAAATGTTAGGAAATTATCAAATATTTTCAATTTTGTTAAGTGTTTAATGCTTCTTTTATTTCTTCTATGATATAAAATATGCTAATTAATTAGTACAGAGGATATTTTTAATTACGAAACCAGGCACCAAGACGTACTTTCTCTGGATTACCTGAATATTATTCTTAAAACTTTCTCTTTATAATATTTTTGAATGGAATTTTAAATATACTACTCTCTTTAAATTTGATTTCTTAAAAATTATTCGACTGATTGCGCTAAAACTTTGTGTTTTGCCACGTAAAATTGCATTGTTTAAAATGATGTAAAAATTGTATACATTTATAATTTTACATATCTGACTATAAATAAATAAAGTAATAAAAAATAAAAAATATTTGCTAAATTCTTTTGTGTATGGAATTATTTTAGGAAAAACAAATTTCATGATTTTTGGAAAAAGTTTTTCGATTGGCTTAAAGGGTTCGTGAGACATGGCACAAAACGTTGGTTGTTTGGTTCTAATGCCACTTGCCACACGGGCAAGCCTGCTTGGTGAAACCGAGCAAATTTAAGGCAGAGTGTGTGAATTTTGTTTTTCAGTGGCGCCATCTATGGCCAAGAATTCGACTTCTGCCACACCATACGTCACACCCGTTTATAGGGCGGACCCATTCATACCCCCATTCATTCATCCTCAGATCGTAATTTTGACCTGACTCAGGGAATGATCGATCTTCATTCCAGTATCCCCAGAGGTATTGATTTGTTATGAGAACATGTAGGACTTTGTGACTCGACAGAATTTTAACGTGAATCAGTCACCAACTACACAGCCGGCGGGGTTCGAACCCACGAACTCTCAGACATGGGTCCAGCGCCCTACCGACCAGGCTATCCCGGCCACTGCACAAAAAGAAAATTTAGCAATATAGGGTTCAAACTTAGCATCGCCTTCCTGACTAATCTATGGGGACCGTATTTCCCAGATTACAGCTCTCACCTATATTTTTAGGAGACATTAAAAAAAAGTATGTTTATTCAGAGAAAGTACGTTTTTGCATTTGATTTCGTAAATTAACATGCTATATATATTACGTAATTATCACATTTGAGATCACTATCACATTTGAGCTATTAAGATTGAGTTCTAGAACGTGAGGATCCGATCATTAAATCAAAAATTACTCAGTGTAGTCTGTTTTCTTTCTTTTTTTTTGCGTATTAAACAGTGAGAATAATAGAGAAAATATGTTCTTCTCTACTGAAATAACATTATAAATTTTTCAAGAGTGTGCATTCGCAAGGGCTGGCCAAAGGGATAAATTAGCTGCCATTCATAAGGGCTAGTTTTAAAAATACGTTATTCTAAATGCATAATTCTGATTAACGCTCAGCTTGAGGGGTGACCTCATTGCGCCCATTGATCGATCCACGAGGATTTGAACTAATCATAAAAATATTGGGAGTACAAATTCGTTTCGTCTGTTTTTGTGTGGTCAAAAATGCATTTATTTTTGAGCAAAATGAGTAAACAGATTAATTATCCATAACTGGCTACTACTTTTTCCTACCTCTCAGGCAATTTTCGAATTCCATCTCGAAAAAATGTCTCGTCTTTTGAAGCGATCCAAGTTAGGGGTCAATTTTCGATTTCTGCGAAAGAAGTGAACCGGTGAGCTTCCAAATCATGTTGCATCCGCCGGAACAAACAGTAATCTAAAGGAGCAGTGTCCGGTGAATGCGGCGGGTGCGGTAAATTATCTCACTTGAGCGTTTCCAAATAATTTTTTACGTTTTTTTGCGACATGAGGCTGACCGTTATCCTGCAGAAGAATAACTTTTTCACGTCTTTGCTCGTATTCCGGCCGTTTTTCTCGTAATGCATGGCTCAAACGAATGAATTGTAGCTTATACCGAACGCTAGTAATGGAATTGCCAGTAGTAGCAGCTCACAGCAAACAACACCATTCACAATTCTTCTTTCAACATTCACCATTCTTGAAACGTTGAAACCATTCCCTACATGATTTATCAGCTGGAGCATTGTCACCATAAACTTCTACAAGCATTCAATGCGCTTCAGCTGCACTTCTCTTGAAATTAAAGCTAAAACATAAAAACCTCCCGCAAATGGCGCTTAGTTACCACAAAATTTGACATATTCAACAAAATAAAAAACATGGTTTTTGTATGAATTTCAAAGTGATATAAACTGAATATTATTGGATGTCTAGCCTCTCTGAAACCATCGAAACCAGTTGTCACTATGAAAAATTCATAACAGCCAGAGCCATCTTTTGAAAACGGACCGAACTAATTTATACACCCAATAGTTGCATTTGAACCTTGTTTCCTTACTATACTAATCTTAAAAGTATTTACCATGTATCGTTATAAGATACTGCTTTTTCCCATACCAGTATGAATATTTACTTTCTATTTTCTTTTATTAAAGTTGCACACTAGGCCACAAACTTCGAAAAAAAGTATGGACCACAGTAGTTGCGCTTCACTGTTAAAACTGTGGTGCAATATCTCTTCGAATATGACGTTGAAAAATCAAAAAAATTGGGTCAAGGAACACTTCCGTGTTAACACAAAACCGAGCTTTCATATATGATTTAATGGGTGTAATTTAAATCTAAGCAATAAAAATGGAACGAAAATGAAGTGAACATTGATGTAGTGAAACATTAGATTCAAGAGTTATGGGTGGTCTTTCACTTTGGTGTTAAGCAGTTGTAACCATTTTCAAGTTGAATTTTTTTTTCTTGTAGTGCATGGATGCTAGATCCTGAGTTTAACTGAAATAAAGTTTTCCGTCGCACAATTTTTAAAATTTTCGTAATCCTGATTCGGAAAGGTATTTGGTTAGTACACCATTTTTTTTGCAAAGTAAATTTCTTTCACCTTCACAAGTGGATTTAATTTGATACAAATAATATTTCTTTTCATTAGTATGAATTACTGGACAACGTGAACATACTTAGAAGAAACTTACTCTTCGATTCCGAAAAATCGGAAAATCCTTGATAAAAATGTCTCTAATAAGTTTTGGATCACCTACTACTAGAACGGGACGATGACCTTCAAAAAAACTGAAAAAAATTTAAATTATGAAATAAGTTTATTTCAGAGAACAGGGAACCTATGATAACTTAATAGAGTTTTCAATGAAAGAATTAAGAGTATACAAACATTATTATTGAACAAATAGTTAAAAACTATATTTTACTTTATCACCATCGTAGAACAGCCGAACCAATTCTGAGTTTACGACTACCAATGTTCAATTCCATAACCTTGAAATTTAGTACAGAGCCCAGAAGACAGCGGGACTCCTGGATCCAGCTTCGAAGCAAACTAGCCTTCGTGGAACAGTTTTTGATGGATCTTGAGCGTAATTCGAACCACGAAAGTCTTCCCCGATTAGCCCGTCTACAAAAGTATCGAACTCATGATCCGTTCACCACTGGTTGGTGCAAGCCGGGAGCAGAATTCGTATCAATCCGCTACCGCTGGAATTCGAATCTGTGTCACCTCATCAGGAGACGAACGCCCAATCCCCTCAGCCACATGGGCTCTTATGAGACGGTTTTATAATTGTTTTTGAACAGCCGACTCAATTTTAGATTTACAACTACTTATATTCAACTCCGTAGCCTTGTAATTATGAACCCAATCCAAAAGAGAAGAGAACTCCTGGATCAAGTTTTTGGAGAAATGCAACTTCTTGGAGGACTTTTTGATGTAACTAACCCGCATTTGCGTTTCATCTGGAGGAAATCTCCAACGGTTACCTAACTTCTCTAATCCATGATCCATCTACCATTTAGGATATTTCTAGTTAGCACTCTGGTCGGTGTAAGCCGTGAGGGGAATTCGTGCCGAACAGCCGTCTCTGGGACTCGAATCCGGCTCACCTCATTGGTAGGTGAGAGCTCTATGTTCTGAGCCACCAAAGCTCAAAATATAAAATAAATATTATATTAAAAATATACAAATACTATATTAAAAATATTTTTGTAAAATATGAGTTTTCCGGAGCTTTTATTAGAAATTTTGCTTATGTTCTTGTAAAATTTAAAAAACTTCAACCGTTAATGGCTTTTACACCTTATGCGAATATCGAAATTTAGTTTCGATTATTATTTTGGAATAATTTAGTGTTTTTTGCATATTTTGGGATAATCATTTGATCCATCATAAACAATGAATACAACCCAAAAATAAAATATTCTTGCAATGGAAACTATATTAGTTATTTACGACCTCTTTAACTTACAAGTGGATTGGCAAAAAATTGAAGAATAGTTATAAAGTCGGTGAGTACACTGTAAAAAATGACAGTAAATTGTGCAGAAAAACGCATCTTTTGCACAAAAAAAAAATTGCGCTAAAAAGCAAGTAGATACGTTATTTACGTCACATTAGAGCTGCCCAATGGGCAATCGAGAAACATCCCTGAGTATGATCCGAACACATATGCCATTACAATTTTGATCCTCTGCAAAGGGGATGGATCCTCCACTTTGGTAGCCCGACGACCTGCGTGTGAAGTAGAGCACTTTACAGTGGAATAGTTCAATGAGGACAGATACCGCGCAACCGTGGTTCCTACGCAACCTGAATAAAGTGGTCACCCTCCCGCTTACTGACCGCAACCAGTGATGTTTGATTTCGATTTTCTACTATGAACCATGTTCTTATGATCAGTTCACTGCAGGACGAGACTGTTCGAAGATGCATTTAGATTCTTTCAGGTTTTAATCGTTGCAAACACGCTGCAAAAAAATCCTGTTTTTTTTCCAGACTTTTTCTGCATATTTGACTGTTGTTTTCTCAGGACAGTTTTTTTCTGTTTTTTATCCTAATCATAAAAGAGTTTTTACATTTAAATATGATTTCAATTAGTAAGATTTTTAAGAGATAAAGACTCTGAGATTTTTCTTCATCACCAACCATTGGAGCTGCCGTAGTTCAGAGAAAGAGAGCTCACTTTCCAGTGAGGTGGCCTAGGTTCGAACCTCGGCGGTGACTGCACTTACAAATACCAATTTCAGCTCGCACCGACAGCAGTGTTGATACTGTTATTTTATAAAGTTTTTTTAAAATTAAAATAACAGTTTTTTTTTGTAAAAATAATAGAGTTTTTTGGTAAAATAAACAGTACTTATCTGTTCAAAAAAACATGCGTTAATTTTTCAATACGAGTATCTTTCTGTGAAATAAAGGATTTTATTCTGGCACGGCAGCTCGCTGTTTTTCCTGCCAATTAAATAGATTTATTTTTACAATTTATGAAATACAATGTTTTGAGAGAATGTCATTTAAAGTTTCCGAAGGCTCATCACACCTACACTAGTGTGAGTGCAAAATCTTTACGATTTATATGAGTATCGAAATCTTAAATATTTTAATGAGTATTAAGATCCTCAATATTTATATGCGTATCAATTAATTTTGGGAAATAATTTCAACTATCAATTCTGTCTAAATGTGCAAAACGGAGTTGTTGTTGTTACTTTTGCCACTTGCCAATATCAACAGGCCTGCTTGAAATCAAGCGAATTTTTAAGGCAGAGGGTGCGTTTCTTGTTTTTTTAGTGGCGCAATCTATGGACGAATCTTGAACCCAATCCGGAAGACAAGGGAACTTCTGGATCAAGTATTATGAGGAATTCGCCTTCATGGAGGTATTTTTTGATGGAGCAAACCTGTATTTGCATTACATGGAGAGGAAAACCACGGAAACCTTTCATGGTTAATCTGACGTCAAGAGAACGCTAACCCATGAAGCGTCTACCACTGAAGTTGTCAGCAATATGGCCAGTGCGATCCTGATGGGGAATATTTATCGACAAGCCATCGCTGATATTCGAACCCGGTACACTTTATATTCTCTGAGCCATCGCTGCTTTAACGAAATGGTTGAATGATATCGAAAAAGACTTGAAAATTACAAAAAATTGGGGAAGCACTGTGGATAATAAACATATGGAAAATCATTTAATTGAGACAGCATAGGTCTGGGAAGGATTGTATTCTTTGTAAGGAAGAGAATTATAGATAGTTATAAGGAATTAAATTTAAATTTACTTACCCGTAAACGGGTCCTAAGGAAAAATATCTCTTTAGTTCAAGAACATGCATCGGCTGTAAAAAAATGTCAAAACGCTTTGAAATGTTCATTAAATTCCATACACTGATTAAGCGAATAGTTAGGATTCAATTTGAACATAATCAGTCGCTTATGACACTGTCAAGAAAATATAATTTAGAATAGACAATAACATCAATAGTAGTTTCGTTTAACTTCACATTTCACAAAATAGCCTTAGAAGCGTTCTTACAAGATGTTCCGTAATTAACATCCTTAATGTGCATTTTTAGAACTGTTAAATTATGTTAAAAAATATGTGTGCACTAAGTGTTACAAATCAATATTTATGTAAAAAAGAAAACAATGCTGGAGCAGTAACATTGTAAAAGTTTTGTACGCTGTAAAAAAAGTACACCGTAAAAAGTAATAATATTGGTGAGATGCCATAATTTTTTGTTTTAAGATTAGCTAAATACATTTTTACATGCAGAAGTGTAGTTATCATGCAAAAAATTACATAAAATTAACAAAATAAGAATTGTTTGAAAGTATTAAGGTAAATGTATTATTAAAAACATGCTTTTTTTTAAAAGAAATGTTTTTGCTATACAGCCATAAATTGATTCTAATGCGAATGAAAATATGAGTTGTCAGTAAACAGACGAACAAAAAATGAATATATTTATAATGAAACTATAACAGTGAAAAAATATCAAAAAATTTGACTACATGTACTGCAAAAATGTTTCGTTTACTTTAACACTAAAAATAGTGGTTACTTGACACTAATTTTTCTTTTGCAGTTAACGAATTGTTTGCGAAGAAAGCAGAATGAAAAGCACCTAAAGCAGTTTGTTTGTTTGGCAAAATTTGAATAAACCTTAACTATGAATTTTTATATTTATTATCTGTTTTATCCGGTAATCAATCAGGTTAGGATGTTTTCAGTGTTGATTTATTAGATTTCAATAATATTTTTGGTTTCATTCTTCACTTAAATATTAGTTTTTGATCCCTTATCTATATATTATTTTGAATTCAATTTTGACAAGGATACTAAAAATACATATAGTAAGGGTGGTTATTATGGAAAATTTTGTATCCTTTTACACTAGATGTACGGTGTACACACACTTTACAATAGTGAAATATTAAAAATTTAGAATTCATAAATTTCTTTGCGGAAAAATGAGATAACTGCAAGTGACGTAGTATGGATATCTCGATCCTGATTGGTTGTTGAAACGTGCAACATTTCTTGCTTGCTTACGTTTTGGTTGCTTACGTTAGGGTTGCATTGGTTGCATTGGTTAAGGGTTGCATTGGTTTGCTTACGTTAGCAACATTTCTTTCCAATGTATTTCGAATAAGCTAATCCCGTCGAGATTCAATTCATTTAAAGGACACATTCTACATTCATTCACAAAGATTTTAATTATTTCACAATATATTTCTAGCTTAACACAAAGACTGGTTAGATATTATATTTTAACAGATTCGATGTGCGATACGGTGTTATATTTATTTAACTTATCGTTAGTTAATGTTCTAACTTATGTAAGGAAATTTTGCTCTATTTCAACACGCCATCTTGTTTATAAATTATGAGCTAGCGCTGAGATTGTAGGTCACGTGTCTGTGTATCAGTGATAGTTTTCTCGAGTTGTAAGTACCCAACTTTTAGCGATTAAGGATGCCAACTTAAAAAAATAATGAAAAAATGTGCTTGAAAGATATGGTACAAAACCCAAAATTATTTCTAAGACATAAATCCCCTTAATCCTTTAAGACCCGACCTGTATGATTGTGCGTGTTAGATATTAATCTAGTAAGTTCTTAGTTGTGCCTCATTATAAATAGCCTCATAATGAGTAACAATTTTGTTACCTAAAACTGACAACTTTTTTTGAACTTTAGTGTGTGTAAATAAGAACTGAATAAAGATTGGTTATGGAATATTGTACATGTGCTCAGTCTTAATTTATATATTTCTGTCTAATAACTTCAANATTATTTACAATGTTAACATTCATTTTAGTAGAATGGGTAGACTCGCCCCATACGAGAGATTTGTCAGCAGTTCTATAAAAATATACAGAAACAGCGTAACTGTTAATATTTTCTAAAATCGATTTCACAGCTTTAAAGAGGGATAAATAGCGATTCAGAAACACTTATTAAAAGCCTTTTTCTTTAATATTTACAAAAGCTTGACCACATGAAAGTTGACAAACTGAAAAAATGGGTAGACTCGCCCCGGTTTACGGTAACAATTTTGTTACCTAAAACTGACAACCTTTTTTGAACTTTAGTGTGTGTAAATAAGAACTGAATAAAAATTGGTTATGGAATATTGTACATGTGTTCAGTCTTAATTTATATATTTCTGTCCAATAACTTCAAAAGCTGCTATTTTAATATTAAAAATATTAGTTTAAAGCATAGAATTAGATGTTAAATTCAATACTGTATTTTAGCTCACATGAATTATCTTAAATTTCTTTGATTAATGTTCATGGTAAAATAACTTTCCTAGCATTTTTTTACGTTTTGTGCTATTTATATAAATAGTAAAAAAAAATATATAAGTGCTTTCAAATTGCAACAGCTCTTAAAGGATTAATGCATATTTTTAGTACGCTCTTTGAAAATTTTACTGAATTTATAACAAACTGATTGCAAAAAAATAAAAATTTACATGTATTTTTTTGTGCAGTATTTTAAAAAACTCGAGTATTTCTGAAAATTTTAGTAAAAATCGAAAAACAAATACAGATTGAATATGAATGTAACATTATCCAAGAATTCTGAAACAAACAAGCAATTACACAAACAGACAACAAAATAGCAACTATAGTTTAAGGAAAGGAAGAGTGTTGTACAGTGTTAAAAATAAAAAACGGACCACACTGAATAACTTTTGATGTAATGATAGGATCTTCACATTCTGGGACTCACTCAATCATAATTATTAAAGGGGAGACATCAAATATGCTTATTAATTAGTACAGACGATGTTTTAAGTTTCGAATTTGGACATAAAAACGTACTCTCTCTCTGAATAAACATATTTTTTTATACGGATTCAGATTTCTGAACCCAAAATATAGGGAGAAGCCGAAATATGGGAAATATGGTCCCTATAGTTTGGTCAGGAGAGTGGTGAATTTGAACCTCTTAAATGTTAATTTTACTTTTTACTTATTTCGTCATATTTGGAGTAATTTTTAATGGAACTGAAATTTTTTTTCTCACAATTCTTATATTAAAAATCGTCAATCCTCGATCCCAAGATAAATAAATAAAGTAGTAATTCCTTTCAAGAAATAATTTCCATAGTTCCATACAAAATAATTCCAGGTAAAAAATAACGCTTAGTAAATATTTATTATATTTTCATTTTTTTAAATTTAGCATTAGTTAAAAAAAATTTTGAACTGTAAGGTGTAAAATTTTAAAGAATGTAATTTTAGATTTTAAAGTACAAAATTTGATTGAAATAGGACGAATAGTTCTTAAGTAATTGAATTTTTTGTTATTCACAGTGGTCGGTTTTTTATTTTGCTTCCTGTACTTTGAACCAGTGCAAACATTTGCTTTTTTGATTTTTAGCTGCTGTATATTTTCGAAACGAATTTTTCTTGAAAAATAAATCCTTGCATTACACACATTTGAAAATAGATGACTTTTTAATACCAATTTTTTAAGAAAAAGAATTTATTTTTGTTTGGTCTAAAGTTGAATCTTGGACCAGTATCAGTATTGTAACATGCGCTAGTCCAAGTTAGGAGCAACAGTTCCAGTCAGTGCTTATTTCCTTATGGATTTTGTTATTTACCCTTTGACGCAGATAGGACATCTATGTCTCCTTACATATTTGTTTTCTGACGTTCTAATTACAAGCAAAAATGTATTTTTGTATTTTTCAATTATAAAAAACAGTCTAATAATTACTAAAATAATCCGTTAGATTATCGCAATTATATTTGTAATAAAATATAAAATCCAATAAAAGTAGTTTGAAATTTTTTTTCCTCATTCATATATAAAAATGGATTAATAATTAATTTTGAAAATTAAGTAAATTTTAATGATAAATAACTATTTCTCTTAGATCTGCAAATAAGTACAAATAAAAACAAACAAACAATTCTTTGGATGTTAATTGTATTTGGGAGATCTTAGCTTTAACGCAGAAAAAGACGGCGACTATTTTATGCTGTATATCATAACCATAAACTGTGATAATGCTAAATATAATATTTTTCACTTATTTTGACCTGAATTAAGGCGAAATAATTGAAAAAAGGTAGGGAAAAGTATGAAAAATAGGCTTAATATAAGTTTTGCGTCAAAAGGTTAATCGCCGTGCTTAACCTTCCTGTATATTGTAAAAAATTTACCGATTGAAAGCTTATAGGAAAAATTACTCTTCCAGAAGGTTTCTATTTCGTTTATCCCTTTTCCGCTCTTCTTAAACATCTTCGTGAAAGTCTAAAACGATTGACGGGATATTGTAAAATTTGGTGACCGAGTATTTACAGTAAAATAAATTAAATTTTTTATTCCCTTACTTCTCGCTCCCGTGAAAATCATGAGGTAAGCTTTAATCTCCTATATCTCGTGCCCGTGATATTTCCAAGCTAGAGCGTTCAAAAGTAACTCTCCAAGATTTTTTAAATATAACCATCTCTAGGGCTCATACATTTTTTACCCATGGTCAAAATGGGTCTTGGTTTGGATTTGATGGCGTCCACACACTTTTCAACTGTGTTCAAGAGTAATAGTAAACAGTGCGCATGCGTTGCTATGGCGACCGCTGCTGTTTTTCTTTTAATTTTCACAAGCAGGAATTTTTAATGTATTTACTTACTAATAATTTGAAGTATTTTTATATTCTTTTTATTATTAACGTATAGTTACTGGCTTGACGGTGATTTCAATATAAATATGAAGGCTGAAAAAGGAAAAGTGTTTTGTGACGTCTTAAAACACGTACATAGACAGGGTTTGAAAACCAATCCGACGACCAACATCCATTGAGACAGTTTTTGCAACCCATGATTTGAAATGTTGTAGCGTTTAACGGAGTCAATCCAGCGAGAAAAAGTGCTTGACCAATGGGTAACCAGTGCTCGTAATAAGCCGATCACAGCTTTTTTTATCTATTTATTTTTTATTTTTGAGATTTATCTGAATTTTTTCTCCTAATAGTGTTTGAATTCAAACTTCATCTGCCTTTTAAAGTTTTGTTTTTCATTTCTATTAATTTTAGTGTTCCTAAATTAATTTTCATTGTTTTCAGCTTCTGCCTTTTTGTTTATTATTTTGCAAACAAGATGGCTGCACCAGACTATTTTTAATGTAACTAGAAATAGTTTATTTTAATTAGATATCAGTATTATCCAATTATATGTATTTCGTACTCTTGGTTCAGCTACATATTCTCTTTGTGAGTACAGTCGGTTTGTGTTATGTAATAAAGTATTTTCTTATATTGTATACATAATGGAAACAGAGTTGCATGGACCTACAGAATTTTAAATTTTAAGCCAATTAAAAAAAAGGAGAGCATGTATTGTACATACACCTTTTTCTATATAATTTTCTTGAATGAAAATATAGACACTTTTATTTCTATTTTCTTGACTTAAATAGATTTTAGCTATAAAATTTCTTTAAAAAATGAGATTAATTTGCAAAATATCTTACTGTTGTCAGATAGTCTATCACAGATCCAAAAAAAGGAAGTGGCTTCACATAAGGAATATTTTTGTCTTTCCAATACGAAAGTTTTTTATTTGAATACCTAAAATAGAGAAAACTAATGTTATTAAAGCTAACCTCTTAGATTCAAATCAGCGTGAACAGATTCGAAGCTGGTGACTTACTAGAAACTTAAAGGAAAAGACAGAATTTTCTAAATTAAAAAAAAAGTAATTTTGAAAAATGCATTTTTCAATCAGACTAGAAAGGGAAAGTCGTTTTTTTACACGTAAAAAAGAATAGAAACCAACACTCTTGAGAAATTTTCGGTGGCAATATAAAGTGATGAGCACGGTTTTATTCTCTTTAAGGGAGACAAAATAAAAAATAAAAGAAAACACGCACACGCATATATACATTTTAATTTTTAATATAGTTGAAAAGCGTATTTTTTAAACTTTCACTTAATTGTATTATTTTCGTCTTTTTTTTGTTGTTTTTTTTGTTTCATGTCTGCTAGTCTGATTACTTCAAAGAACGATCAAAACCTTTGATTGGGTATAATTTTTTCTTTATATTAAAGAAACAATTTAAACTTTCACAATCATCTGCCACGAAATTTCATTTAGTATTTCATCACTCTAATTCATCGAAAAAAGGTCGAAACAATAAAATAGAGGTTGCAATGAAATTACGATAAATTTGCTTGTATCGATCATGAAACGATTGAAGCTTGTATACGAACCTTCAATTGGATGCCTGCAAGTGACGTAGGTAAATCCTGGTATTTGCCGATTCAGAAGCCAATCAGGTTCGACACAGAGCGTTACGTCACTTACAGGTATCCAATTAAATCTAATTTCAATCTAGTGGTTAGGCATAATCACTTCACTTTTTTTCAAGTAGCAAGATCTAATTGGGAGTTGATACATGTGTTATCGTTTTACAGCTCTTTGAAAAATGAAGACGAGTCTCTCTTTTATATATGCTTTAACAATAAAGTGAAATGCCTAGATATAAATTTAGAAAGTCTTTATGGCTTTAGTGATGCTTCAGTATTAACGAAGGTAAGAGGTACGTTTTATCAGCAAAAGTCGGCATGTTTAGAGTTTTGCTTTCATTTTCTTACATTTTTCTAATAAAAAGAAAAAAAAAGTATCCAAAGAGCAAATGGTGTCAAGTTTGCGAAAAAAGTAATGGAAAGATGAAACCTCGTTGACGTAAAAGATTTCTCAATAAGCATTAGATTTAAAATTTGATGTGATTTAAAATGTATAATAAATATTTTGCGTTATTTAATCAATTTGAGTTTTGCTAAGGTTTGTGAATTTATGAACAAAATTATACCTATTGTTCAAAAAATAAGAAATTTTGAAATTTGAAATCTAAAATTCATTGTGACTTTAAGTATATTTCTACTATTATGTTTAATCAATTTGAATATTGCCATTCTTATTTTATAAATAAAATCGTACTTGTTGCAAAGAGAACACCGAAATCGACAATAAAATTGTGAAATGCAATGTATCTGTGGATCTTGTAATTTACTTTAAATTAAAAAAAATAAAAATGCTGATGTTGCTCAGGATCAAAATTCTCTTGTAGCTTTGATCACACAGAACTGCCATTTGAAAAAACCGGTGTTCGATTTTTTTTTTATGGTGATTTGACGCCCTCTACAAATGGATTTACTTCAGCTTAAGCAAGAAGTAAATTATTATGGTTTACAATCCTAGATAATAAATATTGGAAAAAAAAATTATATAGAAAAAGAGTTTTTTTTAGGGGACAGTTTTACTCCTTAGAGTAAGATATCTTTTGCGAACTTAAGCTGCCGATTAACTTTTGAAAATTTGAAGATTTAAGAAATTTAAATATTTTCTTCAGACTTAGAGCTAAAAAATTGTTTAACAAAAAAACTGTGGACTGAAAACCACAAAAAAGCTTAAAACTGTACACAAAATTTTTCGATTCCCTTCAGAAAACTAAATTTACTTTTTTCAAGTTACCTTTAATTATGTGTTTTGAAAAAATTATTTTGGTCTGAGATAATTTTCTTTCCTTTTTTTCTTTCCCAAACCTCTTCTTAATGCAATACAATTGATAAACAATAAATTTTGAATTTAATCAAAAAAGTTGACCTTTTAATATAATTTTGCTTTATACATATCACTGTGTACTTTTAGAATAAATTTGTTAAAATTTGTCGCATCTATTATTTTAGGGTAGTCTATCAAAAGATTGAATAACCTCCTCTAAAGGTAACCGCATTTCAAAGATACTATACTATTTGAAAAAACATCTGTTCAATTTAAAATATGAATACATACCACCAGAACAAAGAAGTAAGAATTCCAATTAGTAGCATTTCTGTTGAAATATGATTTAAATAAAGAAATATATGCTCAGTGATAGCCATTATATTATCTCATCAAACAGTATGGTAGTTTTTAAAAAACCCTCTCTTTTAATTTCATCATCAAACAGCTAACAAAACTTGTAGGAAGTGTGAATAAGTATTAGTTATGTTACCTGATTTTATGTTTTGCAATATTTGCTTTATATTTTTTGTTAAGACTTTTATTGATAGAAATATTGCTAAATGGAACTATTTTATTTGAATTTAAGTAGCATATGAAACAAAAATGTTCAGAAAAGCAGCAACTGTGATACGCTATATAATCTTTTAATGATCAATAAAATAGTGTAATACTTTAGTTTAATAGTGTTTTGAAATATGGTTAAGGCAGACGTGTCAGAATTTGATCATAAAATTTCAAGCTTGAAATAGGTAGCATATATATAGATTTGGAAAGGATGCATTTTAATCGTCAAGATCTTTCTAGAAATTCAATACTATTTATTCCGTTAAAAATCAATATTACCATGTACAATGATATAAATCTTCACAGGTGCTAAAGTACTTTTTAAAATAACTTAATAAATATTTTATTTATTGTTTCATTTTTTTATAATCTGTGTAATCTATACCAGTGATTTTCAACTGGTAACCAGATTTGGTTCAGTTTCTTTGTTTTGCGGTCCGTGAAACACAGCATATTAATAAAAAGTTTTAATTTTTTTTGGGAAGCTCCATATTGGTTCCACACACTTGATCCTTTTTAGAGGTTTAGATTGCCTAGTCCTGCTAGACAATCTGAGTTTAGTAACAACAACAACACTTCGTTTGCGAAGAAATTAGATTTCTCTCCTATTCCATGAAAATTAAAGCATCCACTTGAGCACGGTTTCACCCCTTGCCTCGTCTAAACAAAGGAAGTTACTTTAATTTCTTAACAAATGAAAGATATTCGAATCTGCGAGTTCTCAGTCTGCAGTTCACAAGAGAACTAGAGAATTCACAAGAGGAGAGAATTAGAGAGTTCACAAGAGAATTAGAGAATTCACGACGTCCTTGCATAATTTTCTGAAATAAAATTTATCAAGGCTATGATCGACAGCACCTAGAAATTTTTTCGCTATTCCATATTAGACAACAAAACTCAAGGTGGGCATTCGTTTCTTTGAGGGACATCCGTTTTTAAATCTCAAACTGAAAGTTTTAACTCTTGTTCCTTTTCTCATTTTGAAGCATTTTAAGGTTTCGCTTACATTTTAAATATTTGAATACTTGCTATCAAAATAAAATTACTCTTCTCTAGAAAATATTTTAATATGCAATTAAGAGCCAATTTTTTTAAAAACAAAATATCAAGCAAGGTTACTTACTTGAAATTTTTTATTATAATACATATTTTTTCGTTACTATTAAACATGCTATTGAACACACTATTTATGTATTATTAGACACGTGTTTTTTTTAAATATTTTTGCAAAAAATATTTTTTATTGAGGAAGAAATTCTCTGAAGATTTTCCGTAATTTTGAGAGAAACACATTTATTTACTTGAGAAAAACAAATCTTCTGGAAAAAAACACACATCTATTTACTAATAATTTTTGTAGCATGGGTGAACGGCAATAACATCTTTTTAATAAGAATATTTTCTAAGACTTTGACTGTCAAAATGTACTTGTGCCAACAGCAGACCACTAAGATATATTTTTCTGTGTATGCATTCTAATGAGTAGTACCGAAAGAAGACAACATATGTGTGGTGTGTATGTTGAGTTAATACATCAAATACATTGGTAACCGGATTAGAATGGCAAATGCAAGTAGAAAAACGATGATTTTGAAACTATTATGTGTTGGTGTTGAAAATCTAGAAAGAAGCATATGATAAGGCAAGTAAGCAATGTGGAATTAAATGTATTAAAAGTACTTGATTTTATTTATTTATTATTTGAATTGAGTTATAAGCTGGATTTTATTTATTTGTTATTTGAGTACCCGTAAGATAGAATTTGTATCATCGGTTGCTATGGTGATAGTTCGATATAATTTTGTGTACATTAATTTGATAGTAAACTTTTGTGTAATTTAAAAGTGTTCTGTTTCCTGGTTTTTGCAAAAAAGGCATCAGAATAATTTTATTTCAGTTGAGTAGAAGTGTTTAGTAGAAAATGACTGAATATTGCACTTTCTGGTAATAAATTTAAGAATTGAAATTAAGGTTATGTTCTGGTAATAAATTTAAGGCTCTTAACAAATTTAAGGTTTGAAAATACAAGAGAAAATGAGTTGGATGCGAAAATAGGAAAGAAAATCAGACAACTTATGGTAATCGAATAACATGGTTTCAAGGAGTCTTGAAGGAGATAAATGTCAAAAGATAATTATTTTTTATCTTGGAAAGTAAAAAGTAAAAGTAAGAATATTGTTTTTATCTTAAAAGGGTATTATTTTTATTTCTTTGGAATGAATTCTTGCACCTGAATTTTAAAATGGAAATCAAACTTTACCAAACGTTAGTGCAGAAGAAGAAAATCATCCTTTTTAAACAAAGAGTGGTATAATTATTTTATCTGATTTTTTCAAAAATACTTTTGCAAAAATAATTTTTTTAGATGAATATCATGATTTCTTGGAAAATGTTTTCCGAATAAAAGTATGCAACAGGTATTAGTAAAATACTCATTAAAATTTTTAAGTTAATGAAGAAGATAATTAAAAAATATTTCAATTTTATTTTTAATTTTTCTTAGGTATTTTATCTATCAATAAACATTTTTTTATTACTGTTTTGAAAGATTTTCTTGCATACTAATTGTAATTTTATTTGTGTCTATTAGAATTTAAAATGCAAATTTAAAGCGAAACGTAGTGGTTAAAAATTGAGATGTAAAACCCCTTATAGTGTTTGATTGTTTTCACTCGAAAATTCGTCAGCAAGACTTTTGAAGTGTAGCAATTAATTAATAGTAGAAAATATGATGATGAAAGTAAATTATCCATAACTTCTAGTCACTACTTCTAGGTTTTGTGCTGGGTGTGCTGAGATAATTTTAACATGAATTTTTATTGTTTGGTTATGTTTGTTTATAGTTGAGAAAATAATTATCTATATTTAGTAACTTTGATTTAAAAGTACTCTATGTCTATTTGGATGTATTTAATTCGGCTATGTACTTAAAGCGAATAATTTTTCTTTTAATTGTCTTCTTTATTTCCCAGCTGCAGATGTTACTTTAAGTAACGAAATCAGACACAAAAATGTAATTTCTCGGAATAAATTGTTGTTGTAATTTCTCTGAATAATTTGTTTTTCGTCAGATTATGATTCCTGATACCTCCCTTCCCCGAAATAGCAGTAGTAGCCGCAATTTAAATACATATGTTTTCAATAATTTGGCCAGGAGAACGGTCCAAGATTTAGACTCCTTAATGTTAATGTTATTTCTTATGTATTTCGCATTATCTCTGTAACTATTCAATCGAATTGAAATTTTTTTGCATACAATTATGAAATTCGTTTATCTGAAGATAAAGCTAAAAATAATTTTCAATAATTATTTTTTTTAAATTTAATGATGGTCAAATTTTTTTTTTAATTATAAGGTACACAAATGTTATATCATTTTGAAGAATGTAATTTAATATTGCAAAACACAACGTTTGAACTTAATCGGTAGAGCAGTTCCTGAGAAAGTCACATATTTAGAATTCGATATCTCAGACACTATTCGACCGATTTCATTCAAATTTTGTAAAAAATATTTTATTTTCAAATATAAAGAAACAAGTGTGTTATAGTTTTACGTGGAGAATATATCCTAAAAACTTCAACAAAATCAAAATGAAAATGAATCCAACTTAATTTAATTGAGAATGATTGGCATGAATAAGAGTGTGGTTTATTTTCGTTTCTCCTATACAAATTAGTACTATTTCTCCATTATTTTTGCTTTTCAAAACTTATTTTATTTTATTTCAATTACTGTTGATTTTAATTATTTTTATAGATTCACGTTTCAAAAACATAACTACAAGCAAAATAAACACATGGCTTCAAATATCTTTAGAAATAATAATCAAGTGGCGTAATTCGGAAATGCTTTCACGTTCATCGTTGAGTTGACTTAACACAATGGATAAAAAATAATTAAAAATCGAAGAGTCCGCAAAAACTCCTTTTTAAAATGAAAGCTATAAGTTGACAAGTATCACTGATGTAATAATTAAAATATTGAAATCGTCACTGGCAACTAATAAAAAAAATCCATTATTCATACGGCACTATCATAAGAACTAATTGAAAATTTCAGACGAATTTTAGAATCGGGAGCTAAATTTTCACCTTGCAGCCGCTATCCAAATTTCACTATTTCTAAATTTTTCAAACGGTTGAGTTATAAGAAAGGAGAGAAACACACACAGATTGACAGACGAACTCTTCATTTTATTATAATAGATTAAGAATTGCAAAAGTTCTATTCAACAATAAATATTTATCTTTCATAACACGCAAAGATGATCAAATAGTTGAATCACCAACGAAAACAAAAATGTTGCCTTGCAAAGTGATAATAAAATTTCTAATTTTCCTTAACAATGTTATTTTTGTATCGAATGCAACACGCTTACACAAATATTATTGTATATAATATTTGTGTAAGCGTGTAAGCGTTGTATATATATATNATATATATATATATATATATATATATATATATATATATATATATATATATATATATATATATATATATATATATATATATATATATATATATATATATATATATATATATACATACATACATACATACATAAAGAAATTAAAAATAAATAAAAGTACTATAGAAATTTAACGAACCACTATTGAGAAAGGCGAGACGGTAACATGGAAGCCAGAAATACTGCTTGATAAAATTTCGAGCTTTTTTATTTGACAATCAAACAGGTCTTTGTGACTCCATCTCATTTTTTTCAATAGAATTCGTTTAAATGTTAATTTACGACCTCCGATGTGCAGTTCAAGTTTTGACTTTACATTTGATAAGGATTCTAAAAAATAAAGATCATTCTGTGTGTGAACATTTATTATAATTTAGCTTAAATATTAGTTTAAGAACTTTTAAGTGCTTTTCGATTTTTGACTTCGTATTTGACAAGAATTCTAAAAAGTAAGGAACTTCATGTAGTTGCATATTTTAACGCGATTTTTGAGTCACGATTATTTTGACTTTTCTCAATTTTTTTAACACTTAAGTTGATCGCTTTAAATAAACCAGCTTAAAAAAATAGTGTTTGCTTATAGAAGGACGCTTTTAATTTATTAATAATTTTTAATAACTTCCTTAAAATAAAAAAAATACATCATTTTAACATTACAGAAAAAATACATCATTAAATCGCTGGGGGAAAAAATCAAATTTATTCATTTATTTATAAAGTTATGGGTAAAAGGGCTATGTTTAATATGATATTTTTGAATTCTGAAAATCTCACTGTGGTGATAATAGATTGAGAAATAACTGGTTCATTAATGAGCATCTCTCTCAAAATCTTTTTAATTAATACATAATAGTAATAATCGAAACATTTGAATCAAAATGAATTGTAATAATGCCAGTAAACGATACAGAATATGAAAAAACACAAGGGAAAAATTATTCTAGAAAAATAATCAAGATGGTAAGCTGATATTTTAAACTTTTTCTCTAAAAGGGCGTTCCAACACTGCTTTGTGCTCCATGTCCCATTCGCTTTCAAAATTACCTATAACAGAGAAAAACAACAACTTAGATTACAAAATAAGAGACTTAAATTGCTAATGCACTAAAAATTGTTTTTAGAAAGAAATAATTCCATAACTATTACACAGCAGCGATATTTAAACGGTATTCTGCAGAATTCTAAGATTCTACGACAGAGTTGAAGGGGTTTATATTTTTTTTTTAAACCAGTAATGGTTTTTGATGCCTGAAATTATATGTATTCAATCAAAAATCTAATCTATTATTTATTACTAGTGGGCTGCGCCCCCGGATGGCTAACGCTCGCCAACCCCCGAAAATTGCTATGCAATCTTATATGGTTTGCTTCGCTCGCTACTAACTTCGGTACATTGCAAATGCACAAAATTCTAAGAATTCAAAACAATCATTCAAATCCATATAACAACTTTTAAAAAAAAATACATCTTTTTAGTAAATACTAAGTCATTTAAATAAATTTGAATTCAAATAAATGACATGTAATTCGTTAAACCTATTAGAAATGTGCTATAGTATAAGATAAAATTTCTAAGGATAAAATTTCTTAAGATGAAATTTTTTAAGATAAAATTTCTTAAGATAAAATTTCTAAAACTGATATTTCTTTAAAAAGGTTAAAAGTTTGGCTATAATTAAGTCTATTGAAATAACAGCACGTCGTCTACGCATTCTTTCACCACTACGTCTTTCATAGATGTCATCAATACTCTCTTCCAATCTTCGAGCACGCTTCTTTTGATTATACTTCAAAAGCGTAACAGCACGACTGAGACTAATTTGACTGAGACTGAGCCACCTCAGTTAGATTCGGCATGTGACTTTTTTAGCGGCAATCATTGCTCGGTTTTCTAGTGTTGCCATTCGGGGAGTTGTAATGAGGCATTTTTTTGTCGTCGTGTAAGAGAAATATATATATATATATATAGAATTTGGTTTCTTTTATGAAATTATTTAAGTAAAATATTTTTTTAATCTTTAATTGTATTTTATAAACATTTAATGTATATTGTGTATATTTTAAAGTGTATATTTTCAATGTGTATATTTTAAAAACGTACTCAGAGCCAAACACGATGTTGCTCCACGCCTTACCATTCAACTGTCTGACATAAAATCTATTTTTTGATGTGAAAATAGTATTGAATATTTTGAAAATTTAATTGGAAGAATGAAAAATTAGTTTTCAAAATAATTAGTAGTCTTTTCCTGGTTTCTAGGTGCACAATTGTTTTTTAATATTTTATTTATATAAACCGGAATTCCACTATAAACCGGAATTCCACTTCGATCATTTAAGATTCCATGAAAAAAAAAATCACTGAATATAGAATTATAATCGACAAAATTTATGCAGAAATATGGTATTTTCATGTCACTGGAATAAATATCGGGAATTAGAAGGAGAACATTTGCTTCACAGAAATAATTCGAAGGAGATGCTCATGTAGAAATATAATATCCACTGGTTAGGAAAATTCGGATATATATATATANTTTCCTAAAATTTTTTTACAAAATGTTGATAAAAAATAACTATAATTAATAAAAATTTGCATTGTACGTAAATTAAACTAAATAACTACAATTAGGAGAACTTAGCATTAACATCATTAAGTTACAATCGAAATAATGAAAAAACTGGTATAAGTTGAGTATCATAACTAAGAAAAATTTAAATGCGCATAAATGTAAACCAAGGAAAAATTGAAACCAACATTAAAACCTTTGAGAACTTATATTTAAGAAACATTACGCAATGTTTATAAGAAATGAATAATAATTAATAACTGAACATTAATAACATAACATAAAATTAATTAAATAACTGCAAGCTAAAATTATTATCTAACATTAAGTTATAATTCATGGAAATGTATGATTTTTAAAACACCATTTATATGAAGTGATAAATATAGAATTATTTTACTTCATTTAAGATAATAACTTTCAAAAAAGCACGTGCTTTCCTCTACTAATCAGCTTGTTATAAATAATTTGCAAATAAGAGGCGATAAAGGATAATCCTCTAGCAGCCTTCTTCAAGCTTCATCTAGTTCTTCACCCCTCCGATTTTCCTTCTCCGATTTTGACAGTTGAAGATTGATTAAGGATTACGCCCACTGAAGAGGGGGAGAATTCGTGTGACGAAGGAGCTCGCACACGGATAATCCAACCATCATACATAGCAGACGTTGTTGTGGTAGTTCCGTATGCTACGTGCATGTAATAAAATAGCTTTTATTACATAAAAATTCTACTTTTTTTAGATATGCAGACTTAAAATTTGCTTTATTGTTTTATTGTCCCATTTGAGAGCAATAAATTAAAAATGCTGAGAGTTGTCAGTGATGACTCAATGTATCATGGGTGCCAAGTCAGATTACTCGTGCGTGCCAGGAATTAATCAATAACTATTTTTTAAATATTTTGAATTTTTTCATTACATTAAATCAGAATGGCATGCAAATACAGCTAATTTACTTTCTTTTAATGAATTATGTTAAAACCTAATTTTCCACAGGAGGTTTTTTTTAATTGCGTAAAATTATTGCAGGATAGAAAAACTTTTTTCTTTGAAGTCTCTTGTCTGAAAAATAATTTTCAAACGGTGTAATAGGATATATTTATTAATAAAAATCAGTTTGATATAAAAGAACTTCTAAAAGGAATGTTCATAATATTTACTAACATAAAATACTTTGATATAATTCATAGAATCACAAGAGTTAATTCTAAAATCGTAAGAGTTATAAAATATTGGTTTATGAAAAGTGAAATAGAGAGTTTTAAACACGAGGCAGAGATTCGATTCTAAACTATAATTCTATTTAGTTGAAAATTTTTTAAACAGAATTAATTCTTGATTTTTTTTACACCAATAAATAATAAAACATACATTTGGCGAGATTTTATCATCTATATGAATGAATAATTCTAAGTTTTTGCAAATATTTAGGTACATGAACAATGCAGCAATTAAACAATTTTTCCTGTATTAAAAAAAATAAAATAACAATAACGCCTTTCATTTTCAGGTAACTATGGATTTTCTTTATATCGACCTTTCTAATAACTAGTATAAAAGAACCGGCAAAAGGTAGAGAATTTTTCTTTGTGACCTACAAATTAAAAGTCATGAATAGGTCGTACAAATGCACAGTAGTCAGAAAGAAAAATACATATCTTATTTGTTAAAATAGTTTCATTTTAAAGAAAAGTTTAATAGGTCATTTGTAATACATAAATAGAGAACTTCTATTTAAATTAGTAGGAAAAATCAATAATAAAAAAGAATTACCATAGGTAAAATCATTTCGGAATCATCTCGAAAAGTACTACTAGGTTTTTTAGATTTCGAGTTGAGAGCAATTACAGTAGCGAATTCCAATAAACTGAAGAATACGAAAGCTATACAGCAGGACAGCCAGACATTGAGAGCCACAATGTAGGAAACATTCGGCAGCGAGGCCTGATACTGCTTGGTTATAATGGTCAGCAGGCTAGTAACACCAAGAGTTACTCGGGCAGGGACGGCATCAAGTGGTATCCAAAATGTCAACATAGACATAAAAACGATCAGAATTGTCGGTATGTAGACGTTAATGAGAAAGTAACCACCTCTTCTAAGAAGAACAATCGTTTCTTCCAGACAAGACACGTTTCCTAAAATACAACAAAGAGAGTAATTTAAAAGCATGCATTAGGTATTGCAAAAGTATGCATTAGGTATTATTCTATTTTATAACCAGTGTTGAAATGCAAGCAAAATTTTGTGTTTATGTCTATCAATGTTGATCTCCATAGCCATGCAGCTTTGAGCCCAAACCAGAAGACAAGAGAGCTACTAGATCAAGCATTGAGACAGACTAGCCTTTGCGGTGGACTCTTCGATGGAACTAATACGCATTTGCGTTAAATTGGGAGAAAAACCACGAAAACCTCTCACTGTCAGCCCTGCAACAAGAAAATTTTAACCCATAATTGATTTTAACCCATAATAGTTCCAGTGAAGTTGAATTTTGATTATCTGATTTTTTTAAAATTCAATTTCTCAGGTAAATTCAATTTCTCAGTTTTCCCAATTTTGCTAAAATTTTGAATTTTACCAAGCAAAATTATATTCTTTAAAGTTATGCAAAAAATTGTATTCCTTAAAATTCGCATTTTTTTCGACCATTATTAAATAAAGTAGCAAAAACTAATAAATATTTATTAAATATTATTTTCAACATGGAATTATCTTTGGATAGACGAATTTTATAATTATGTGCAAAAATTTTTCAAATCGCTTCAAAAGTTTTCGCAAAAAGTAAATTTTGCATTAAGGAGTACAAACTTTGGATCGCTCGATTGACCAAACTATTTGAACCATATTTCCCAGATTCCCGCAACCCCCTATATTTTGGGGGTCAGAAATCCAAATCTGTCAAAAATGTATGTTTATTAAGAGAAAATACATTTTTGCGCCTGATTTCGTAACTTAGAACAACGTCAGCACTAACTGATTAGCATATTTGAAGTCACCGCTCAAACCATTAAGAATGAGCCTTGGAATGTGAAGATTCAATCATTAGATCAAAAGTTATTCAGGGTAGCCAGTTTTTTTCTTTCTTTTTTTCTCTCCTTTTTTGTGCACTGTACATAAGCATAGAAAATAAAACATTTTCGCATGTGTATACGAATTATTCTAGAATGAGTTAGGTAAATGAGTATGAGCAAAAATATACATTATACAATGTATATACATTATACAATATATATATAATATACAATGTATATACATTATACAATGTATATACAATATACAATGTATATACATTATACAATGTATATTTGTATATGTATAGCCGTTTAGTCTCTGCAATATGTGACTAAACGGCTAAGTAAGAATAATGATTATTGTTCGCTTTTTGTAAGTAGGGATACGTTTTAATAGTATTATATGAGCGAAATTTATACATGCAACGCGTGGGTAAATTTTTTTTTCGAGAAAGGGACTTTTTTTTCTTCTAAAAGCAATTTATTTAGAACAAACTGATAGACCAGGATATCACGGATTTACCTGGAGATATTGTTCAACTTTCCCAATACTGACGTTTTTTTTCGTAATCGGATGCTATTATATTACATCTATTAATATTTAGCAAATAAGCCGTATATATTTTTTTTATAGAAACTAGAAGGCTAATTCCAGTACATTTTTGTACTCCTTTCTAATTCTTACAGACTTTTCGAAGCAAAATGTAATATTGAGTTGAACACCTGGAAGAGCGACGGCGGTTCTAATATAAGAATATAAATCGAAGAAAAATTGATATGTTTATTTCCATGATTTGCATCCGCCATACCATGCAATCATATCTTTCCAAAAGTGCATTTATAACTGTATACAATGCTTAGGTAGTGTATTTTCTTATTCTCATATTTTATAAAACGCCTGACTAACACCTAAAAATGTTCTTATTTCCTTTAATGCTGGTAACATATAAACGTCAATTTCTTTAAAGAACTTAGCATTTTTCTTCAAATTATTGTATAAATTACTAAATATTAAAGTATGGTTAAAGGTAAGTATTAAGCAATGATATAATGTCTAAAATATAATCCTGAGTACTTGACATAAAGAAAATATATTCTTTTATTGTTTTACTTACTACTTCCCCTTTGCATAAGACATCTACTGTTCTCTACATTGGTTATGTCGAATTGTTGAAGGCTAGAGAATTTATCCGTTTTGTTTCCAGTATACTTCCACTGCAGAACAAGATCTTTCTCACTAAAAAAAGCTAAAACAAAATAATTACTTTTATTTTGTATATTTTTTCGTTAAGAGAGTTTATGCGCTATAATTAATGCTTCTGCAGTATTATTTTATACAAATAAAGAAGTTTCAGTAACAAATTGGACGTTTTTAATATTATTTATTTCAAAGGAATGATATTTTTAAAATTCAAATCAATACTCATGTATGGGAGATGACTTATTTGAAAAAATTAACACATTACATTGCACATCACACGCATTTAACACATTACACATTAAATGAAAGACTTAACATATCTTTCATCATCCTCTATAGGTAAAAGAATATGAAGAAATATTAGAAATGTCTGCTATAAGGATTTTTCTACAGTATGCATTTAAAGAAAGGATCAACTGTAAGAATTTTTTACAGACAGCAACAATCTAAAATTTTTTTGAAGTCAAAAATAGAAATTCTTTAGGGGAAAATAAGATACGTTTAGTAGGAAAAAGTACATTGATTTTTATTATCAAACTTGTATTTCCCTAATTATTGCTTATGCATGCTCTTGCTTGTCCTTTACAAATCGTCTTTACAAACCGTCTTGTCCTATACAAATCATCTATTCTTTACAAGTCGTCTTTACAGACATTACTACTCCACGCTACGGTTCCTGCACAAGCTTTCATCCTAACGCCGGTTATGTCAGCGTAGAACAGCTGACACAATTTTGAGTTAACGAGTACCAATGTTCAACTTCTTAACTTTTTAATTTTGAACAGAATACAAGAGAACTCCTGGTTCAAGTATTGGGAGAAATTTGCCTTCGTTGAGGACTTTTTGGTGGAACTTACCAGTATTAGCGCTATATGATGAGGAAAACCACGAAAGCCTCTTACAGTTGGCCTTGCTGTAAAGGGACTCTACCTTACCCATTATCTGCCCACCCGTGAGAATATTGTTCGTCAGCACTGTGGTTCATGAGAGGCGGATACGAAATTTATATCGAGCAACCGTCTTATAGGGTGTTCCGAAATTCGACCGTCAAATTTAGAGGGGTGATAAGAGGCATAAAGACGATGAAAGATTAACATAGAAAAAGAGGTCGCAAACCATGTTGAGAGGATGAAAATCACAAAACACCAACACAGGCTTCAACGACACTCTGGAAGACAGCTTCTGCTGCAAAGAGATTTATTTGACTAATTACAACAAAAGTTGCTAGAAGTGGCACTCGTTGTGTACAGACTACAGCGACTTAAAAACGATTCCCAGACGCATTCGAAAATGATAGGTGGCTTTTTCAAATTCACGGAAGCAATGATGATCCTCTCTTTGAGCAATGATGAACAAGCTTCATTTGAGTTCACAGGCATCATAAAAATTTGTGACTTAAGATGACCCCATAGAAAAATACCCATAGGCTTCATAGAAAGTCCCAAAAGTCCATAGACACCATACAATGCGTTTCTGGCATCCAATCCACTTCCTTAGGTATGAGATTCAGAGCCGAAACGCGTTTTTCGAAATCAATGTGGTTTTTGACCGCAATTTCTATGTTAAGTATTAATTCTATTCTTGTTTTTTATTTTTCCTTTGAATTTGTCTGAATTTTGAAACTACCTGTATAATTTGAAATTCTAATAATTTGCATAAAAGATGATATTTCATTTCGATAAACTCATTCGATGCCAATGAATTAGACCTCCTTCAAATATATTGTTCTCTAACGTATATGAAAACTATACATTCAAATTTTTCTTAGCATAACACTTAGCAACCTATCACTATTACGAAGCTTACAAAAATTGCTCAACAAATTACAAATATATTTAATTTTTGGTAAACTTGAACCACAAGAGCCATCGCGTATCGCAATGAAAAATTAATTTACCCTATATTATTGACCAACTTTTTTCAACTAATAGGGAATTTGCTTGATTCTGTGTTCAGAATGTACCCAATATTTTTAATAGATTATATATTCCTTAAATGTGCTTTGCCCTAACTAATTCATATCTGTTTGAAGATCATCAAGTTGTCAGGAATGTTGAGACCATAGAGATCAGATTTTATTTACCTGAAGCTAATTTCATGGAGCATTTTTGTTCATCATGAGGAAAACGAACTAAATCCATCTCACATATCAGCTTCAACAGCAACCTTAAATTCAAGAAAAACATATACATAAGGACGTTGGACGTTGTTGAGGACGTTGTTGCTAAATGCGCATAAGCGAGTGCATAGCAGATACGCATAGACACTTAGCAAAATGATGGCTTTAGGTTGGCAATCGTTCAATTCCAAAGTGCCTGTGAAAAATAGTGAAACTTTAACAAAGACCACGTTATTACACGTGTTGTTTAAATAGCGTCCACGAGCTGTTATTCGTTTTTCGGGTTCTTAAGATCAAAAATTGTTAGACATTCCTCTGAAAATACCTCCATCACTGCATCACTGTAGTGAGGAATGATGAAGAAATTGTGACTCAAAAATTGCGACAAAACATCAAGGAAAATTACAAAATCTGGTTATTCCATAAAATCGTTCCATAAAAATGCACGTTACCATATCTCGTACGTCGTATAACGCAGAAATTGCTTACAAGAAAGTGGGAGATATTTGAGGAAACTTCGATGTTTTAAATCGGAATTATTTGTAGACACAAAAAAGAAGTTTTTCTTCTTTTTTTACAAATAGATACATTTAAGCTGGAGAAACAGTCGGATGGTTGCCGAAAGGCGTAACAGGTATAAAAAACTTACAATATAGAAATTTTTTGACCACCCCTCACAAATTATTTTTTGTGTACTATAGTATGATTTAGTTACATTTTAATAAGAGGTTGCTCCTTTTTTTTTTTTTATCCTAGATGAGTTTGTTCTTAAGCCCTTCGTTAAACGTTTTGTCAGTGAAAGAAACATTTTGCGAAGAGTGCTAACAGACAACCGGGGAAAAATCATCCAATAAAAATAACGGAAATCGTGGGCCAAAATGAGACTATTTCTGTTCAGCAACTTACATTTTTTTACAAAAAACAATTTAATGTGATAAGACATTTAGCACTTGCATGAAATATTCTGGCCATTAACGTATGTTTGCCTGTGCCAGCTTTAGAGAACCGAAGTTCTTGTACAGTAAGAGGTCTGATTAAACCCTACATAGATAAACATGCAAAATGTATTTATATCCCCTCACATTCACTTACGTATAACTTAAACTAAAGACAGGCGCCTGGCGTCCAGATTCTCTAAAATGATGCATGATGTGTTACTTTAGAACTTCGTAAGATAAGCTTTTGTAGAACCCTATATTTTCTGAATCTTTCCAGTAATAGAAAGATCACATTTATTTTAAAAACTAGGTATCTATGATAAAATGGAATAAATGAGCTTACCTACAGCAATAGAAAACTGTTTTGGATTTTGATACCCAGAAAAAACTACTTGGAGAAATAATGTTATCCATTTTTCCGTCAACAGAATTAATGAAATATATGTTGGGATTCCATAAAACTTTCATCCAATCAGAATCCAGAACTTGGGAGCGTTTCTTTGACCATGAAGGATAATTTAATCTAAAATCTTTCCACGTTTGCCACATTTCAATGACGACACTGAAAGACTTAAAAATATTTAAACAATTATTTCATTCAGTTATTTAAAAATTTAATCAATTTATTTCAAACATTGCAGTTAATAGACTGCTACAGCTTTTTTTTAAGTAGCGTTTTCATTCACTTTAACATAAGAAAATTCACAACGTGAAAAAAAGAAGGTTAACTGAACTGTAATCAAATATTTTCTGCTGAAAATGTACGAATCTAGATTTAGTCATTAAAAATTTGATATTACAATAAAAGTTTTTGAAGATCACTAATAATTTGCATACTAACGTATGTATCGCCCAGAGTGAAATGCTCTAAAATAATTAAGCAACAGCCACTAGTTTCTTCTAAACTTCATAAATTCGCAGAAAATAAATTTTTCTTAACTTACCATATCTGATTCATCGATAGAACGAACATTGAGCTTCGATATGCTAATATTTACTATCACATGACTTCCTTGAACAAAGAAAAAAATTATCTTAAACATTGAATACGAGTTAGATTTAACAAAATATTTTATTATAATGATAAAATATGAGCTTCGAAATGCTAATATTCAATTCTTTGAGCAAAATAAATAAATAATATTAAACAATGAATTAAGCTTAGAATAAGCAGATTAATTTATTTTAACACAGTGACAAAATTTATAGAAATTCACATTATCATGTTTACTTTGATTTCTCAATAGAAGGCACGTTAATGTGCAGTGTAAAAAAGAAAAAAGAAAATGCATTGATAACTTTTGGTCTAAAGATCTGATTCTCACGCTCTAGAGGCAAATTTAATGATTTTAGGAACTAACCTTAAATATGCTAAAACATTTCGCAGATGATATTTTAAATCATAAAATAAAACACAAAAACTCTCAACTTTTGCTCACTGTAAGTTTATTTAATATGGAATAATTTGAACTAAAGGTTTCTTAAAGAATTACATAGATAGAAAGTTTATCATGATGGAATAAGTCGTTTTAACTTAATGTTTTTATAGAGTATTTAGTATTTATTATTAAATTTTATATTAAATTATAGTTATTATTTTGATTTTCCTTATTTTAACTTTATTTATTATTGTTAATTTCATATTTTCCTTATCATATTTTCCTTATACCAGTAGAAAGTAATACCTTATCATTTATATTATCTGTATCAGTAGAGGTATTTTTTTTAAACATCTATTGTCATAAAAAAATCCACCTGTGTACAAATTAACCAATTAAGGGGACTTCGAAAATTTTATAATTCAATAAATTATAATTAAGTATTTTGCAAATATTTTTAAAGTAATGGAAATGTAGAAAACCACTAACAATGTTGAACTGAACGGAAAATATTTGCGTATGATAATGCCTGATTACTTGTTTTTATCCAGTATAAAACGCAAGGATTTGGGTAATACACTTGCCTAAATATATTTCGTAAGTATGTATTTATGCCTGAAATATCATATTACCAAATATAAATACACGATTATAATTTATTCATATAAAAAAATAAAAACTATAGTATAATTTTATAACCTAATCGTATTTCTTTTGATGACTTACTTTAATGCTAATGATCATGCAATGGAATATCATTTGCTTACAACTAATAACTTTGAATTCAAAGTGATAGCATTTCGGCATGCATTCTAAATACACAATTCTTGTTGTAAAAGTAAAGGGCGAAGCAATGTTATATAACGATGCTAATCAACATGATATATGTAAATAAACATTTCAACCTATAATACAGTAATTAAAGTGATTATAATATCAGCAAATACTGATGAGACACTGTTGATTGTTAAATTGATTAGAAAAGATAATATTGATAATCAAATAGTTAATCCTATTGTCATTATTGCTGATCATCAAGCAACATAATTTTTTGCAATCAATTTTTTACATTCAATGTGTTTATGTTTCAGAGAGAATAATGTTTCAACATAGGCCTGAACACTGTTTACTGTCAGACTATCAGAAAAGAAATTATTTTGATAATGATAATCATTATATATTTTAAAATAATCTTCAACTCAATAATTTTGCATTTGATTTGATCACATTTAAGCAAGCTCTGAGGAGACACAAATAATGCTGCTATTGTATTAAATTGCGCGCGTGCTATATAAAATTACTATACCATATAATGACATTATCTGGCACTACTTTGAAGTGATAGCACCAGCACCGGCGAGGAACACATGGGGAAAAAATTAGATAAAAATTCCATACTTCCGTAATGCCATTTCTGGCAGAAAAAACAAACCTAATTCTGGCTAATAAAGCCAAAACATTCGGTATATATACAATTCATTTGATAATTTTATCGTTCATATGATAAAGGTTTACCGGAAATTCTGTTTTTCAAATTTATATTTCTTACTGCCACAATTTTAGTAAAAAAAAAAAAAAAAAACTGAAAAGTAAAATTTACCGAGAGAATGGCTTTTATACCATGCTAAATTAACAGGATAAAATTACTAAATTTTACAGCATTTTGCAAATTGTATTACATATTATAAAACCATATTTTATTGTTCATAGATACTTTTGAGTAAAATAAAATGAAACAAAACTGAGATTAAAAAAAGACATTTATCTATAAAAGTTTACAACATTTAAAGAAATAAAAACTTTAAAGTTTTATATTAAAAAAAAATTCTTGTTGAAAATAGATAATTAAATATTTTTAAAAATTCGTCAGTTAGGAAATATTACCATTTATTTTCGGCGGCGTCAAGCGATCATAATGCGGGGGTGCAATATCTTCTTGTTCTATTCTTTTTTCTTCTTGAATTTCTTCACACCTAGAAAAAATTCCGTAAGAATTACTCATAAAATCTTAGAAAGCAAAATTAAAGAAATCTGTAACTCCAGTCCTTAGCAAACAAGTGCCCTTTTTTATGAACATTAAAAAATAAATTTAGTTTTCAGAAAAGTAAAAGTAAAAAATCCCCAATTTTTTGATGATTGTTTAATTAATTTTTAAAAGAATTAGTTACCTCATATCAGATATCAAAAGAATGAAAATTAGAATTTGTTTGCTTCCAAATTTTTGCACGATATCTCTTCGAAACATTTTAAATTAAAAAAGCTTTGAGTATTAGTTTAAACATTTAATAAATTGACTTAAAAAGTAAATGATAAATTGTAAAACATGTAGTTTCTTGCTTTCTTGCAGAAATATACAATAGGTATACAATTTTAAACACTGTGTATACTGAAGGAGTTAAAACTTTTAAAACACTTTTCGCGTTTTCTTACAATTTTATACTCTTGCTTTACTATACAAAGTTCATATCTTTTGGCATTGTTTTAACGTGATATTTCAACATTGTAAGGAAACGAAATGTATTTTTTTTTGGCTCACAAATTTATTGGTTTTTATATTAGTGCTCTAAATGTTTTCTATTTTTGAAACTGTTTAGTTGAATAAGATAAGTTGTCAATACTTCCAGAGATATTTCTAGCGTGTCAAAATTTAAGATTAGCTCGTAAAATATTCACAATTTATCTCTAAATGTCGTGACTTCATAAGAGAAATATAGACGTCTTTCAAATATATTAAAATAATTTTCCATTTAATCAAAGTCAAATATCTTTCATTAATAAAAAAACGCTTATTTTTAAAGACTACATTTTATGAAATAATAGAAAGTAAGTAGACATTATAACGTGCAAATCATAAAAATCACATTAAATATCTGATGCATTACTTTGCTGTAGGCTTTTAAGTATCACCACGCTTGTTTATTATTTTTTATTTGATATTTTTTTGAAATGTATTGCTTAAATGGTATGGTAAATAAAAATAATGATATGCTATCATTTGACTTAAAAGTTTAAGTATTGTCTTTTGTATTTGGGTCTTATATTGAAAAGCTGATTAAACTAATGGTAAAAATCCAGTTTTTTCTCTTACTTGAATGTTTGCACAATATTGGAAATCATAACCTTTCATGTTCTATAAATAGAGGTGCTGAAATATTTGATCTTGTTTTAAATGAATACGAATATTTGCAGACGCTGCCTAAAAAGACTTTTGATCAAAATAAGCTTTTCAATAAACGAGTGTAATATAGTATAATGTGTTTCTAGTTAACTACAGTTACTATGGCAACTGCGAAAAATAACAAAATATCGGTATCATAAGTAATTGGCGTTTTTTACAAGTTCAATGCATTTAAAAAAGTTCATAATTCATTGATTGCTTATTCGGTGCAGAAAAAATAAATAAAAACCGTCAGGGAAAAGTGTTGAGCCTTGGGCAGCGTAATCAATGTAAATATTTTCGTACCCTAGTGGAGAAATTCTGCGTTCAGTACACCTAGGTCCTATGTGATACTTAATTAATCTACTACGCCTTGCTTGTAATAATAGGTATCTTAAGATAGGATTATTTTGTAACAGGTGTGGTAACCTCGGGGCACTTGAAATATTAGTTATTAAATGTTATATATAAAATATATATAAATAACAATAATTTATTTTTAATAAATATTGTACATGACCGGGGGTATGAGACCCTTTGTTTGTTTAGTATACGAGCAACAATTCTTCCATTTTAACGCTATTATTCGAACTTAGAAAAAGGAAAAATGATAATTTTTAGAAACGAAATATATTATTTTCTTAGAAATTATGTAAAATAGATTAAAAAAACATTTATTTTATAAAATATAATTTTAAAATTTAAGCCATTAACAGTGTACGAACCCCAGAACCTAGGGTCTAGCAATAAGTTGCTTTCTATCACGCAAACCTAACGGCATAGCTGCCAACTTTTACGCATTTGACGTAAAATTTTATTTTCTTATATAAAGTGGTAGTAAATATATGCTAATTTTTCTTTTATAAACCTAATTTTTAAATGATTTTGATCACCACTATTCTTAAAAAAATTAAGCGTAGAATATCGTTATGCGTTATTATCATTGTAGTCAGCTTAAGCTTATTCAAAAACAACGTATTTTTTTCTTCTTAAAATTGAAATTTTGATTCCTTTTTAATACCACTGGGAAAAATCGTAATGGAAAGGATTAAAAGTTGGCAGATATGCCTAACGGACACATCACACCTTGCTGTAAGACATATAACAAGCTTGAAGTACTGTCCCGCGATTTTTCAATGGAATAATATTGTGCCACATTGTGGGCCCCCTAATTTGTCTATAATTAATTCCTTTAATACTGTAGTATATTATTTTATAATATAATATCTGGTTGAGTTTGAAAATTATAGGGTAATATTAAAGGAAAATATGGCGCCATTTATATGTACATTATATGCGCAACAATTTCTCCATTTTAACGTTATAATTTGCACTTAAGAAAATGTAAAATAATAATTGTAAGTAAAATAATATTTTATTTATGTTACAGTATTGCAAAATATACAAAAAACTATTTATTTTTATTAAATGAAATTTTAAAGTAGTAACTATGACCGGGATTTCAACCTCGCATCCTTGAGATATGGGGCTAATTATGTGAACTGTATATGAGCAAACATTTCTCCATTTTGAAGCTATTATTCGCATTTAGAAAAATGAAAATATTATTTTAGAGAAAAGGCACGTTACATTATCGTTTATTTGCGTTACATTATCGTAAATAAATTAGCTATTTTAAGTTCAAACGAAAACACAACGAGATTTATTAGGATATAAACAATCACAAATTACAAATTTTCAATTTTTACTTCTCGGAAACTACTTGATTGTTTTCACAGAAGTTTTGGATTTAAGGAACTAAAAATGTACAGTGTTATGTAATGTTAAATACTGCCCATATTTTTAGGTTTTTTTTATATATTTTTTTACACATGCATTTAAATCAACTAAGTATTGGAAACAATAAATTAAATTTATTTATAATGTAGAATCATTCTTTGAATGGCGAATTTTATAACTGTGTGAAAATAGTTTTTCTATTGCTTAGTTATTACCAGATGGTTAAAATCTAAAACTAACGTTAAGGAGCCCGAAGCTTCCTTACCACTCTCCATATTCTCTTGTAGAGATTCCATACTCCATATTCTTCTTGTGTTGTTCGTATCTATTCGAACTATATTTTAGAGAATATAAATGGTCCTTTTCTTCCTTTCCTTTTGCCACTGCAGCCGACAGTGGTCCTTATCTTGCAAAAAAATCTTATTCTAAACCTGCTCTTGCAGCCTTATATTTCCATTGTGTAATATTTATTAGGGTTAGATCTCTTATTATGTCATCTAACAGTAATTTTTTGGGTCTATCCCTGGCATTGATGGTCGTTAATAGTAATCAAATTCAAATTTTCCTCAACTCCTTATTTTCGTTCAAGTTCTAATCTTCATTTATGATTTGTTTGGCCGGATTGGTCTAAAAATTATTTTAAAAATTGTCTCGTGTCTTTTCTTAACTAAGTCTAAACTTTAAAAAAAAATTATATTGCAATAAAACTTGAAAACTAAAAGGAAAAAAAAGAAGCATTACGCAAGTTAATATTTCTAAAGAAATTTATTCCTAAAAAAATAATAATATAAAGTGAAGAAAGATAAAAAGAACAACCTTTTTTTCATGAATTTCATTTATTTAGCTATGTTTCTTAGAATTACTGCAAATAATGGCGTCATCTGCACATGGTGAAAGGAAGCAATTTTAACTACTTTCTAAAAAGAAATTAATTATTTTTTGAAAAATAGGAATTTTGTCCTTTGTGATAGTTTGTGTAGCTTATGCTTCACCAAGTTAAACATTAATTGAGATTTATGATTTTTGAAAAGAAATATAAAAGATTCTTTTTCTTATTGCCATCACAATGGTAATGAGAAGAAAAAAAATGTATTTTTAGCACTTATGGCGACATGAAATCAGCCGGCTTGCATTTTTCACAAGCAAATGAAAAACAAAGTTTTCAAATCTGTTCGTTTAACAATGTTGCTACAAATAAAAATCAGAATGACAGGACTAATTTTCAACTGTTAGAAATTGCAATTTCTTTTATTGGTCAAACAAAATCAACGCCCTTAAGTTGGTAAATGATTTTATTATCTTTTATGAATCAAAACAGTCCCGCAGTGTACTGATCGTTAAGACACGGTTCCCAGCAGATCACCGAAGTCAAGCATCACTGGCTACGGTCAGTGTGCGGGTGGATGACCAGTTGGATCAGTCTGCATAGGGACCGAGGGTGTGCGGTATTGTTCCTCGTTAAACTGTGCTACCGTAAAGTGCTCGACTTCGCGCGCAGGTCGTCGGGCTACCGAAGCGGGGGTGCCATCCCCTCCGCAGAGGATCAAAATTGTGATGGCATGTCTTCGGATCATCCTCCGGGATGTTTC